CAAAAAGTTCAATAAACTAATGCAAGAAAAATATGCTTCGGAAAACAATGAAATTACAAAGGAAACATCATCGAACATCGATAGAACAAAGTGGGTAGTCAATCTCTCCTCGAAAGCCTTAAGCTCAGCTGAGATGAAAGTACTTGAAAAAGGACTAAACTTCAACATAACAGTAGATCATCTAAAACCAGAAGATGTCATACCTAGCATAGAAGTAGCATTAAGCTCGGTGGATGTGACAACTGCTGAACAGGTTAGAGCGCAGTGTGCATTAGCACTTAAAAAACAAAAGAAGACACAGCGAAACTTAACGAAACTGGAAAATTCAGCTTTAAACAATCTACGAAAGGATAATAGTATAGTAATTGCTAAATCTGACAAAGGTAACTCAACAGTAGTTATGGACAAATCGGATTATCTTAAAAAAATGGATGAACATATCCAAACAGGGCCATATGAAGAGATTAAGAAACCTATAGATACTGTCATGAATAAAATTAAGAAATCTACAACAGATCTGATACGCCGACTGAAGCCATCTCTAGGTAAGTCCGAATGGTTTACTTTAATGCCAAAAACTAATAATCCTAGCAGAATTTACGGTACTATTAAGGTTCATAAAGCAGGTTATCCCATTAGGCCGATAGTTGACTTCCGAAACACACCAACATATGAGATATCAAAGTATTTAGCATCAGTATTACGTCCTGTTAGAGACCGTTCCAACTCTAGACTAGTAAATTCTTACGAGTTGAAACAAAAACTTAATGACCTGCACATAGAAGAGGATGAAAAAATGGTTAGTTTTGACGTAACAAGTCTTTATACTAAAATACCAATCAATATGGCACTGGAGGCAGTCAGAAATCAACTAGATACTGACTCACAACTTACTCAAAGAACCAAGGCATCGGTTGGTGAAATCATGTTAGGAGTGCAGTTATGCTTAACCTCGACAGTCTTCAAGTTTCAGGGAAAGATATAGACAAACAGAAGGAGTAGCAATGGGATCACCAATATCCCCTATAGTAGCAGATATATTTATGGATAGTTGGGAAGATATGGCTTTACGAACATATAATCCGACACCTAAGATATGGTGGCGATATGTAGATGACACATTTACAGTGTTGAAATCGGAACATATCGACAGTTTCTTGACACACATAAACTCAGTAGTTAACGCAATCCAATTCACCTACGAAGTAGAAAATGAACAAGGAGAATTACCTATGTTGGATTGCAGAATAAAACGAAGGATAGATGGTGGTTTAGATACTACCGTCTACAGAAAACCAACACATTCTAACAGGTATCTAGACTTCAAGTCATCTCATCCAGTGTCAGTTAAAGCGGGTTTAGTCAAATGTCTAAATAACAGAGCTGAGAAACTCACTAGTCATTGTAAGGACTTAAATAAGGAATTGAAACACATAAAAGAAGCGTTAATAACTAATAATTATCCCCATCATTTTATTAAGAAATTCACACGGACGCATAAGAAGCAAAATAATAACACTAATACAAATACAAATAATAGTGACAACATAAGTAGAAAGGAAATCAACACCTCTATTGTGATACCATACAAGGAAGGAACATCAGAAACCATACGTAGGATTCTCAACAAGGTTGGAATTAGGGTGGCATTTAAACCAACAAACTCACTTAGAGGTAAGCTTTGTCGGCTAAAAGATCCGATAGAACCAATTAAGCAAAATAATATAATCTACCAAATTCCATGTAATGACTGTGAAGTCAAATACATAGGTCAAACTAGCCGGTCGGGGTCAGTTAGATTAACAGAACATAGGAATTTAGCTAAACATAGAACGCAGACCCCAATAAGATCAATAACCTAGAAAAACACTCAGCCATTGCATTACATTCATTAACACACAACCACACAATAGGATGGGACAAAACCACTGTACTTAAGTCTAATATAGCTAGGTGGAGAGAGAGATTAATTACTGAATCTTTGTTCATCGAATTCACACCCAACACATGTAATAGGAATGACGCAACACCTATACCAGAGATATGGAAAACTTTACTACCAATCAAAAAACAAAAAACAAAGAGAGATCAGGTGACAGGACTATAAAATCAGATGTCGAAAGAAGTGTGATTACATTGATATGATTATGAGCAATAATTTATGCTCGAAACGTAATCAAGTAAATAATACTGTATCACTGTGCGCTTTATATCAAATAAACAAATCTAATATGGAATCTTACTACTTTGTTACTTGTTTTGCCTATATAGGGTGTGCCAACTTGGATCTTTACGTAGTAAGAGAATTGTTTGGAATACAGGACTATATACTGTTCTAAAGTTGACTGTTGAGAATGCTCACAATGGATAAGCGGTTAGGTTTCACTGAACGGTGAAATTTAATTGTAAATAAGTGGACCAATACCAGCTAAGTAATAATATGTTCTCTTGCAGAATAATGCAGTTTTGTTGGGTTTATGTTCTCTCAAGTTCGTGCTGATGCTGCTGTCTAGAATGACAATGAAATCTCTACGATTAAATCATACAGCTAAGAGAAAATTATCCTTCTGAGCTACAGATACTCTCCATTATCCCAGTTAATTAACTCACTTCTTCCTATTGAAGTGTCTATTTGCACAGGGATGTTACAAGGTATGTAGCACATCAAAACCCATGTCCCCAGAGCGGATTGAACTCTCGACGCCTAGTTTACTAGACCAGTACTCTAACTGCTGAGTTGTAGGGGCACTTTTCGCAAGCCTTTACATTCACCATCCTCTTTCACATTACACTCGCTCATACAAACAATCACCCAACAAGTGCACAGAACCCCTCCTTGCTTTAGTTCATTGTTGCTCCTCCCTCATGTTTACGGTTTCTAATCTGGCTATCTTCGACTGAGCGTTTACCCTTCCACTTGCTGCGGTCACCACTATCTATCCACCACTTTCTACATGTGCTTGTCCGAGTGGTTGGATTTCCCTGCCAATAGATAGACAATGTCCTTCTTGCAAGACAAGCATTCAGACCATATTGTGTCAACAGATGTAACTTGCTTGACATGTAGCAATGAGGTGGATTCGGATGTCAGTGAACACCTACACTATGCAATTGTATGTATGTATGACTGTGTGTCGTACGCCGGGTTGAGGCGTATCAGCAAGCAAAGTGTACGTTCATGAGTGAACACCTCAAGGTGTGAGTGTGACGCAGTGATTATTCTCTGGAGAACAATCAGTTTCATATTGTCTGGTCCTGATTGCTGACCGATTGCATGCTACCATTTTGCAACGTGGTCACTAAGTTAAGAGGCTCAGCATTGTGGTGTACTTTGATAGATGTCAGATGGTTGGAGGCAGTTGGGAAGAAGCCTTTAAGAAAACCTAAGTCCAGGACCTCATGTCCATTGCCTCCAACCAAGTAACAATTAATATGCACTCCCTGTCTGCACGACCGAATCAGTCAGGTGTCCCATGTAGATGCGATTCAGTTTATTGATCCACAGACACAGAAGTTGAATACAGATATTATTCCAGCTTCCATTAGTTGAATTTTCTCATGTTCAACATTATCTCAAAGTTACCTTCCTATGAGAAATACCTGTATTCAGTCTGTCTTTACGATAAACGCTTGAAGAGAAATCCGAAATGCTAATAAGGCCTATCTTGAGTGACGGAAAAGTGTTATGTCACATAGTATTATCAAATTTGTATTTATCATTGATCGTGTGATGTGACATAATCTCTCCGTAGTTTATTTGCTGGTTAGCACTAGAATTCATTATTCATATTTCAATTATTTGGTTTTCATCAGCTGCATGTACCTGCACCCTAGCGGGTGATATTGTTTCCGATGAAACTCCGGCCCAGCACCAATCACTCCAAATGCCAAAGTATCCAGTAGAATACTCAGGCTCAAGAAGCATCACTTTTGCAAGGATTATCAGTTGGTGTTTACTGATACTCATAGTTTCGAGTTGTTATACTAGGTCGAATTTCTCAGCCTCTGTTGTCTGATAAGCTTCTATGCGGATGCCTCGATATTGCGTAGATATTCATAATATTGTAGTCTGTTTGGTTACTAGCAGTGGAATCCAGCTTGGAGCGTGTTTAGTCCTATGTGAGACTCTTTAGATGGATGTATCTACACCTCACTGAGTGATGTCGTTCCCACTGCGACCTAAACCCAGTACTCACCGTTTCAAATGAGAAAGAGGTGGCTATCGTGCCTTAGTGGAGAGATGGATAACTCCTCGATGTTTAAAGTGTTGGGTACTAGGTTGAAGTCTCAGTGGGGATAACATCACCCATGGGTATGTAGATACGTAAGGGTGATGAGTCAATCCCAAATAGGACGAAACGCACATCAAGCTGTATACCACTGCAAGTCACCAAGATGAGTACAACAGACTTTTATATTTCTTGAATAGTGTGAAAATAGGTCGTGCAATGATAAATGACCGTATATTTGATGTAAAATGGTTGGGATTAGTTGGCAGGAAACTCTAATTGATCTAGATTTCATGTCTGATCCATTCATCATGACATGTCGGTTACCATGAAGAAAGTAGAGTTTTGTTGGTGATTGTAAACCACGAAACCCAGTGCTGAATCGAACAACTTCACCAATAAACTATTCAGGTAATGACTGACTCTACATAGGACTTGATTAGGCGCAAAAAATACTTCCATCTTCACACTGTAACTCTTCTATATGATATCAAAACGATAACCGTAGTAGAACTATATGACTATCCTATCATAAGCCGATGCCGTACTCATCCTTTGAATCTAGCCATCCAATGTTATTATTATTCTTTTACTACTCACTGCATACAAAAATGTAAGAATATGTGTTCACAAGCAAATAGAATGAGATAGAAAACATACAGACTTGGGAAGTAATTTACGATGTTTTTGAGATGACCATTTTAAGTGTCAAGATTGCTGCAGATTAAAAATTACTCAATTTGTCTTTGTATGAGAAAAACTCGAGATATTCGTTGAGACATTTCGTTTATTTTACAGCTGTCGTTTTGAAATTATTTTAGAACAGTCATAATATGGAGTAGAATGATAGTTGGTTAGAATTATTTGATTCATCAAGATATTATTTCCCGGTGACGTATTGTAACCGTGGTATTTTAGAGTTTTAGCTTTCATAATCGTCAGCATCACTTTCTTGTTATTTCACCTTTAGATTGTTCACTTGTGTTCTTGTTGTTTTGTACGGAGGATGACCAATGTAATTACCTCTGAAACTCAATGAGAAGTATGAAACAAACTCATAATGAAGATAAAACACTTTGACCTTCATAAATACTTCTTGAAGGTCGTGAACAATTTAAGATATTTTCGTCCGTTTCCTGAAACGCCTCATACATTGACTACTTGATTGTAGATTTCTACTGTATATGCAATCATAGTAGTTACTGAAGCTACTATGAAATTAATGATGGATATTGGCTAGTAGTAGAGTTCTGGACGTATGTTTCATCCTGATTAAGACTTATCAGCTTGATGTTCCTGTCTTCAGACTATAATATCCTAAGTTACAACGAATGATTAATCCTGTGTCTTTTTGACGAGAGCAACCTAGTATCTTATACTTTGACTTATTTGATTAGATTATTTCATGCAAAACCCCAGTTTTAGTCTGCTGAGCTCTTCTCAGTATGTTCTATCACATTTTTTATTCTGATTATTACTAACTTATCTGTTCATCGACTTATGCAACCTCTCGTTTTAAATCCTATAGTATTCGACTCTTCTGATCCCATTTAATTTTCACTTGAATTTTCATTCCAATATGATACATATTTATGACAACATTATGTAACTTTTTGACTTTATTTCAATTCAGTTGGTTTCTTTAGGTTTCTAAGTCGTTTTCCTGTTTTGGTTGATCTCAGAAAACTAAAATATGTTAAGATTTTAGCTTGATTTGCCATCGTAAATATTTTAGGTTATAAGCAGCTGATGAGAACCGCCAAAACCACAAAATTGATGCATTTTATTTTACTCCAAAATTTGATCTTGGTGTTTTCAAACAGTGAAAACTCTTTACTTTTGCGAAACATTAAGTAGTATATTTCCGGTTACATAAAAGCATAATTTCTTTCTGGTAATGTGGTATTTCTAAATGCTGTCATATGAATTGGGGAATGTGGCTCGCTGGTTCAGGGTGTCAACTTTCAAACATTCGATCATGGCCTCGAACACTGAGACTTGAAGTGCCAAGTAGTATTACTATCTCTCACACACTAGGTATCGCTTATTGCACACCGCACAAATGTACACAAGGCAGCTGAGTGGATTCGGATTTTCTATTCGTAGCACAAATTTCATAAGAATTTAAGTTTCATGTGAATATGATGAAAACCATTACTAACAACTTCACGGATCCAGTAAACACTATAGTATCCTAGACAGTTGGCACAACACTTCACTAACTACTGTACTGAACAGATTTTCGCTTGACTTTTACTTACCCTGTGCCGTAATTGCAGACAATGCTCAATCGATAAGGAAAGTTCGGGCAATCAGTTACACCACATCCAAGATCGGTAGTTTTCTCCCATACAATCTAAAATGATATATGTCACAAAAATTGTCAGTAGTATAGATAATACAAACCAATCATATCTTTCTGATTACTAGAAGAAACGTACTCTCTTCCATTTGTGTAAAATTCTTATGTATTCTAACTGATGTCCCAATATGTCTCAAAGTCTTCAGTATTTGTTTCCTTGTTCATGGATAAAACTCATTTCTTTTTTGCCATGTAACCTTCTGTATTGTGAAATATCTACTTTACATCACTTTTATCACATTCTACATTCTTCACTCACCCTTAAATGCTCTTATTTTGTTTATACTACTTACTGACGACTAGTAGTATTGTTACGTTTGAGTAATTCATCACACCACGCATACTGTCTAGTGCCAAAGACTCAACGAAAACATGGCTTCTTCTAGAAACTAGTTCTTGCACATAATTAACAGTACACTATGGTTCAATATGAGAAATAGGTTGCACCTCATATGCCCGGACCTCTTTCAGGTCATAAAATCCTGATTTTATCCATCAAATAAACACTTATTTGTCATTGGTATCTTTTTTTTCTCCCTGGTAGTCGAACTATTTTGTAGTTGTTGCAATCCTATTTATTTTGCATTGAAAGTGGCAGATGTTTCTCATTCACTATGAGAATGAAAATTTCTATGAACTGAATAGCCTTTCAATTACCCAAGTTTGACGTGGATAGGATTTGTACTAACAATTACGCAAGCAAAGCCACTTAGTATGATACATGATAATAAAAAATATTATGAAAAGACAGGGCAGTCTTCTATGCAACAAGAGTAGTTACAAACCATTTAAAATGAACTGTGAATTTCACAACCTAGCTGAGATTTTGAATAATGTAGATGGACAGCAACTGTAAAATAACATGATGTGCGAACAGCTGGTAGACACGAAAATAAATATAGCCATTACTATTGAGAACTTAAATGAGTTGCTGATCATGTACACAATGAATGTTCAATTCTTGTGCAACAGCAAAATGTACAGACAAATAGATGTTGTGGCGATGGAATCTCCGATAGACCGCTTATTTGCTGAAGTGTAAACGAAATGTTATTAGATGTTTAGTGTTTAGGGTAAGATCAGTCTACTCTGAAGAATGTGTCATGAAAAAATTAGAATTAACTCAGGATATTTTAAAGGAAAGCAGATATCCTGAAACGTTTATAAAAGCGAACACTGCTCAGGAAAAACCTTTTTTCTGCATCTGCAATTCAAAAATGATATCCTTAGCGAAATTTTGTCTTGACGTATATCCAGTGTAATATATAGGTTTTACTCAGGACGTCTATGCCTACCCTTTAATAGCCAACCGTTTTTCATCTCGAGACTTAAGAACGTCTTACTTAATTTGAGCTTATCATCATACATAGACCAATTAAACTGTTCCTGTGAAACAAGTTATATAGGACACATCCGTCTCAGGACACGAGAACATTTACCGGCATATTTTGCAAAGGGTGAGATCAAATCCATTAGTAGTTTTATATCAATACATGAAATAGATACAGGACACTAAATAGATGCTTGAGTAACTTATACTGTGATACACTACGTTCTGAAGACTCTATTATTTTCCGTTCGTTTACCCGATTCCCTATATAGGGGAAGCTGAAGGTGAAAGATCAACTAAGCCTGAACTTTGTACTGAAAAAGAACACCTTAAAACCTTACTCCTCCCTTGGCCTTCCATTGACTAGACGGTATTCCCTTAACCTTTTTATTCCTTTCTTGATCTCTTTTCGCTTCTGGTTTCGTACTCGTTGTCTCCTTATTGTTTTTAACAAACTAAATTATCATAACTATTATTTTTAACCAAACTTTCCTCCCGTCTTATCATAATAAACCTCTGAAATTCCTGTTAAGACGTTTTTGAATGCTGGGTGATAAATGAAGGTGAAATGAGAATCTGGACCTCTGGGTTTCCGGTCCTTCAGTCATCACCCAGTATCAATGCAAGTCTACCAAACCACGTCTATCTCAGATAGTCAAAATAAAAATCTTTTAACATCATTACTACTCTTATTTTCGCAGCCATTTCATATTTTAACCATCTCATGATGACATATTCACTCCATTTCTGCCCCTTATGGTAAATTCAGGCCAGTTTCTGAACTAATCAATCACTCAATATAGTGTAACCTTGAACTTTATTATTAATTTTCCTTCTTCATTCGTCAGATCACCAATCAACTGACAAAGTTTGCAATCAATAAATCCCCATAAACCCCCAAATTGAATTATTCTATTTCTAATTGGTGACTAACTTTCAGAGGGGATTCCCAAAGCTCCAGTGAGAAGACGTGACTGGTTGGGCCAACCAAGTCGGACATCAGGGTAGTTACTCAGTGACGGTTTTGGGTGGAAGTTGCGCCATATTGTGAACTGATGAAAATGGGAAATACTGACCATCAGGTTCCAACCCATTGGTTCAATGCTGACGCGTTGTTCTCAGAAGCTAGAGGTCCTGGGTTCGATGTTTGATGGGGTAGTGGGTGCACACTGTTGAGGAGTGCCTACTGAGACGAACCACTTGTCCAGAGCTCCCCTGTTTCCAGTGTTCCTTCAACTTATTTCAGTCCATGATGAATACCAACCTGAAGTACATATATGTTACGTTACCAACTGCAAACTTGAAGAATTTAATTTTAGTTATTATTCCATACCCATTCTAAAATGTATTCGCCGCCAGTTTTGTTAACGAAATTACTTTTATTGCTGTAGAACCTGACGAGAAGTTACTGAAAAAAATATTGTTTGTTCACGTTTGACTGAAAACGGTCATCGACACAGACATCAGTCACTTGGCTCTCATTGCAATACGTATAGACGGACAAACATTCAAGATGCTGAGACCAATTATGTAAGTTCATATCACTGCAATTGCTCTAACAAAATTTCCATATCAGTGTAAGTGATTGGTGACTACTGCTGTATTTTATTAGTATGTCTAAACACTATACTTCTTACCTGGGTGTAATGACCACACTGCTTTGCACGACATTTCTGCCTTGAGAAATCATAGCTCTTGTATTCAGATAGCCATAACTGAAATCCACTTTCATGAATAAACAAGGAAATAAAAACAAAAAGTGGCGAATTCGAAAAAAGAATACAATCAGTAAACTTGCTTCATCCAAACACATACTCGAAGAATAATCCTACTATTAAATAACAAACATTCAATAATCAGTGGTGACGAAAATTCTCACTCATTTTCTCTCTATATCTATACTGTTACAGATTCGTCTCTTCTGAGAAGACTATTAGTCAAAAGACAACTGATCGATGGCCATTGCGTTATGTAGATTAAAAAAGTCAGAGAATATTAACAATATAGTCTTGACTTATTAAACAGTATTTATTATTATTATTATTATTATTATTATTATTATTATTATTTATCCCTTGAGTTCCTCATGGAACATAAGGATTCAGTTGCACGTCTACAGTGCACTCTGTTCTCTGAAATTTTTTAAACCTGGTTCCACGACAGCCCACAAGCTCTCATTCCTTCCTCGCACGATCTCCTCCATGTCACCATCGCCTCGGACGCCCAACTCGTCGCTTCCCATTTCAGTTCCACTCGAGCAACTGGCCTGGCGCGTGGTGTCCCTAGTCGGCATTCTCAGTGTATGCCGATTCAATCCATCTCCACTTCCTTCTGCATATTTGTTAAGTGATAGGCTCTTGGCTGTTTCGTCACCAGGCCAGAGTTCCTTGTTACTTATTCTCATTATCCTGGCCATCTGATATACAGTAACGAGCCAGCGTAGGCAGTTTTTGATGAATGTCTGCAGTTTGTTGGAAATCCCTTTCGTAACGCTCCAAGTCCCTGAGCCATACAGAAGCACTGACTTGACCCTAGTGTTGAAAATCTGGATCTTGTTCACGCTTTATGCTGAGTGCAGTGCAATAGGTCTCCACACTGACTTCAGGCTAATGAAAGCCTGTCTTGTTGTCTTTCCGATCCTGGCTGGCTTTGACGTCCTCATCTGTGCCACCGCTTGTAGTTGAAACAGTGCTGCCTGGATAGGTGGAAGAGGCTACTTCCTTCAAGTTTCTCCCGTTGGTGGTGCTTATTGTTTTTGCTGTTGTTGTTGGTGTTGGTGGTAGTTGGGTATATTTATCACCTCTGTCTTCTCTACGTTTACCTGAAGGAAGTCCCGACTTCGCTGCCTCGTCTCTTCTGCCAACTTGTTGGTTTTCGCCTGTAGATCCTCAAGTTTCTGCGACAAGACATTAGGCATGAATCCAAATCCTCCTCTGGGGTCTTTTCATCGGTCAAACGGCGTATGCCCATCTTCTCGCAGCTCCTCACAATTGTCTGTTGCATGATCCAGTCCAGTCCAGTAGACCACAATCAGAAATATCATCGGTGATAGTAGGCAGCCTTGTCTTACTCCTTCCTGTCTTCACTTCAAAAACATCACTGAGCTTTCCATTGTGAATCCCTTGGCATATGGCGTCGTCATGTAGCTGTTGTTGAGTGAGTTTGATAAACGTTTGTGACACTAAACTGTAGTGTTGAAGCAGTTGCCTGCCAAATTACTTCTCGGCCGACGCTGTCGAAGGCCTTTTCAAAGTCGACGAAGTTGAGGTAAAGATCCAGTTGACTGCCATTCTATACTCTATTCATTGGTGTTGATGCGTAGCGTAGCGTTGCAATTTGATCCGCACATGATTTGTTCTTGCTGAAGTCAGTCAGCCAGCCAGCCAGCCTGTTCCGGTCGTAGTTTTGAATCCAGAGTATCCTTTAGTCTCTCCAGGATGATGCGGCTTAATATTTTCTTCGGGGTGGACAGGAGCATGATTCCGCGCCAGTTCTTGTCCTTGCAAAGACTGAGGTCACCCTTCTTCGGGAGTTTGACAAGGTAGCCTTTCTTCCAATCAATAGGCAGGTCCTTTCCTTTCTTCCTTCCAAACTTTCTGCAGTATTGGTGTGAGCACATACGCTGTTGTCCCTACGTCTGTTTCCAGTGTTTCTGGAGGAATTCCATCTGGTCCTGCTGCTTTCCCGCATTTCAGCAGCTTTATGGCGTTCAGGACTTCCACTTTCGTAGGTGAGCTTGTGTTCGCTGGTAGCTCCATGGTTGCAGGTGGTGATTGATTCAAGAGCTTCTTGAAGTGGTCAGCCCATCGTTTCCTTTGTTTCTCTTCTTTCGTAATCATATTTCCGTCCTCATCTTTTATTGGTTTCGTCTGCGTTGGTCTCTTCCTTGCCAGATAGTAACCTGGTTGTTTGATACAATGTTATCAGGTCTCTACTATCAGCAGCAGCCTGTTCTGATTCACTTGCCAGTGTGTCGTGCAAGTGTCTCTTGTCTTTCCGCGCACTCTTCTCCATTTCCTTGTCCAGTGTTTTATACATTGTACTCAGTTCCTCTTGTCGTTGTGCATCCTTGCACTGGTTTGTCTTCTGCCTCACCATCCTCCTCTCCCTGCTCTATCAGCTTCCATGTGTCCGTCGAGATCCATTCCTTATCTTCTTTCTTCTTCCTTCCTAATACGGTTGTGTAGGTTTCTTTCCACATCTCTTCCAAAGAGTTCCAGTGCTCATCCATACAGGTTTCTTCAGGGATATTGCTCGATATCTCTCATTTTGTCTTGATGGCTGAAGTGAAGATTTCCTTTGTAGTTTCGTCCTTCAGTTTCCGGTTGTTGAACTTGAACTGTGGTCTATCACCAACTTCCTTGAAGGCTTTCAACTTGATTTTGAAGGTTCTTTCCACTAGATAGTGGTCTGAGCCTACATCTGCTCCTCTTCTTGACCTAGTGTCAAGTAGGCTACGTCTCCACTTTCTTGGGATTGAACTGAAGTCGAGCTGATTTTTAGTGTGTCCTGGTGTCTGGTGAAATCCATGTCACTCGCTTTGTGGATATCCTTGTGCTTGAACACACTGCCTGACTCCAATCACCAAATCGTTGAATGCACAGAATTCTGCAAGCAATTCTCCATTCTCGTTCATTTCACCTAGCACTTCTCGACCCTCTTCCTGTGTTGTCTGCTCCCAGTTTGACATTCATGTCACCCATTAGAATCATGATGTCGCCAAGTGGGTTGGGGTCTTGTCCAGTGTTGATTGCAGTTGTCTGTAGAATTCCTCCTTCTTCTCTTCATCTGCATTATTTGTCGGTGCATAGCATTGTATGATTGTGACCTTCCGTCCTTTTGAGTTGAACCTCGCTGTCATGATCGTGGAGGAGATTGGTTCTCACTGCATGAGAGACAGCCTTCGATGCTGTTGGGGACATCATGATAGCCACTCCATAACTCAGTGTGCTCGTGGTTGTCGTCTGGGTGACAATATCGGAGTAGGTTACTGACTCTCCAGTTAACAGTTTGAAGAGTCCACTTCCATCCCATCTGCTTTCACAGATTCTTAGCACTTCAATGCTATATCTTCTCATCTCCTTTGCAATCTGGGTAGCCTTAGTAGGTTCAAACATAGTGCGGACATTCCATGTCTGCATTCTTACTTTTGCTTTCAACGAGAGAGAGAGAGAGAAGACACATCGGCCAATTGGCTTCCTGAAGGCTTTCATCAACCGGCGTCATTTCGCCTCTCCGATTCAGCGAGGAATAATATTGTTTTCATTGTTTATATTTTGTTTGTGCTTTGAAGTTTGTTTAGCGGTTGGATTGGTTTTACGGGGTAGGGTTGCTAGCCTTATGCCCAACCTTCCCTTTTTATGGGGGCTTAGGACCGGCTAGGAACTAGTGAACTTTTGAACCAGGCGAGGTTTATCGAACAGTATAATGCCTAAATTTTTTACTGCATTCCATGACGTTCGAAAGAGTGCATAGGAGTTTCTGTTATGCAGTTGCAATGCTCACACTTAATGACGGTTCTTATCTTGACCGTATTTAAACATCTAGAATCGCACAAATGCGGTGTGGGCAGTGCTTAAACTAGTGAAATTAAGTATGTCTTCAGAAGACTAGTCGGAAACTCTTTACCCTCTCTTCCTTCTTCAGATATTTAGAACAATAGCTATCTACGGTTAATTGTATGGATAAAATTGACACAGGACTTATCCTACACACAGTGACTTGAATAACAGTAAATTCAGAGCGAACTGAGATATGAAGCATTACAGATACTTTGGATGGGTACGATTTCTTCTAATTAACTCGCCACTCCATTACAATGGCCACAAGCGACACGAGGGTTATCGTCGTCAATCCAATGGAATCAAATTCATGATTATCTATTAAATTTTATTGTTGTATGGCATTCTTGCTCGTTATATGTAACTAGGCAACTAAAGACTCCTCTTTGACTGTTAGAAATAGTTAGATGGTGAAGATACCTTCATAGTAGAACACTGAATCGGTTCTGGTATCTCCGCCTTGTGATCGACTTGGCGGTTAGAGCAAAGGACAATGGGTTGCAGTCTCAGTTCGGACAACCATCTCTGGGGTGCAAGCGCATCCAGATCAAAAGACTTAAACGTGGCAATATACGTGACTTGGATTTCATTCCTTCCCACTAAGTGAAATATAAAGTTTCTTTTAGTCAAGAACGTTTGAACTCATCTTCATGTTAAGCCACTGCTCCTTGGGACGTACTCATGTTTAAAGACGTTCAACTTGCCGGCGTTTCAACAAACGAATGCGTGGATGAAAGTGGGTTAAAATACTTCTAGTATTGAATGACTGATAACTGATGAGTTCAAGCTGTCGGAAACCTGGTTCTTTAATGACATTACGACTTCTTGTTTACCAGATATCAAACTTTTTCTTAGAAATATATAGTTCTTTTCTGCTTTCTCCATAAATCTCTACCCTGCATTGATAAACTCACATTTTTACCTTACTTGCACCTGCCCAGTTTTGTCCAACATATTCAAATTCCGATGTTTCACGTTCTTCTTCTGTGTCGTGTCCTACGCGACACTGATCAGACAATTTTTGTGCTTTTCTTTCTAATTCCATATTCCATTTCTATGGGTGAGAGATAAGTGAAAGATAAAAATAATCAAAAGCGCAAAGTGCAAGTCATTTCATCTCAATAGTATTTACTACATAGTTACACGTAAGATCAAGTAAGAAACGCTTTGTTTGTCAACTGAAATCCTCATTTGTAGACGGCCGTTTCGTCCTAGTATGGGTCTCCTCAGTGGTGCGCACCCATGAACACAGAACCTTCAGTGTCCGTGGCCTCGAGGCTAACATTGAGCTACCGCGACGGAATCCGATGGCCCACATTTTTCTTCTCTCAGTTGAGCATATAGCCTAACCTTCATCCAATCTCGTTGTTGATTACGTGCCCTTGCCTCCGGCTTGGTTTGCTCCACTGCTAACATCTCATTAGAACTTCCAGAATCTCTTCTCGAAGAAAGCCACTAAGAAAGTCACTAAACAACAATTCGACCTGGAGGTTTGCAAAGGTTTAGCGGTTTAAAGTTGGTACTCAACTGATTTCAGTGCATGCTAAGTCCTAACTTGAAATTAGAAAATCCCTAAAAACCTCTTCTTACTAAGCTCCGATCTCGCTGTATCCCTATTTGGCACTCAAACACTTTTGTTAGATAGTCTTGTACTACTTTTATTAGTTAGTAGTGTGACTCATATTTCTTACATTATCTACTACCTTCTTAGTTGATTTCGGTTATAATCGTGGTTTGTTCGTTACTTAACAGACTTGGATATTGGTATCTTTCATAGCTCATGATTGTGTTAGACTCCCATAAGTTGTGTCCTGGTGCTCAAATTTAACTCCTAACGTCTTTTATCCGGTGTCTTGTACTTCACCGTGGAAATCCGAAGGTTTTTAATATTTTCCTCTGATTCATTTTGAACACACCTTTGCTGTTCATATTGTTGACGCGCTTCCTGTAAAGTGCTTTCGATAGCGATAAGCATAAAGATACTTGACAATTCGAGATTTGCTAACCATCATTTCTTATGAGTACAGAACCATATCTCAGACAAATTTTGCATTTTCGGTTTCATGCCTAACTAGAAATAATACGAATTCGACTATTTTTGTAAATAAATTTTGTGATACGTTCATTCTTTATGTATATCACGTATGTAAGCCCGCTTCGCTGATTTTGACACCTCATTCAACGGCTTGATGCTAGACTCGCATGGTTTTGAAGTGGTGTGGAATATTTGTAGCTCAGGTGGATGGTCTTGGTTGTACCCAGCTCCGAGAACACCCTGGTTTTATTTGATGGTCTCCTGCAACATTATCTGTCAACATGGCAGGCGTCACTTTACAATGCATAGTTTCAAAGAATGCTTAAATAGCATACTGAATAAAGAGTAAAGAAAATTAGTTTGAAAAAATATCAAAATTGCAATCTTAAAAATTATTAGCAGTTACTTCAGGAAGCGCTTGTGATATTTTGTACTGCCAACTTGTAGGTGAAATGAACAGTCAAACATACACTGAAGTTGCAAATAATCTTACACATCACTAATCTTTCTAGTTACTCGGGTACTAGAATATCTGATCTAATAATAGATGAGTACTTCTGAATATATCTCGTCATTTTTTGTCCTCACTTTGTTGATATTTATCCGTGGAGCATAAATCCTTTCAAGTAGTCTCCTTAATATGTATTATTACAGTCTTTATTTCAAACAAAATACTAGACGATGTGCTGGGAAATAATTCCAGTTAGATGAAGGCAATCGGCAAGAATCACTGCTTCGCCTAGGTTTCTTGCATGTTAGAACTCGTCAGCGAGGCATATCTATAAAACTGAACGGAACCGATGTCCCCTCTCAGATGCTAACGCTCATCATCAAATCCTACAGTCAGAAACGACACCGCCAGGCTATTCGGGTCGTAACATAGATGCTAGTATCAGTAATAATAATAATCATAACGATAGTGGCAATACTGTGGAGGGGGAATTCAAAACCTTCACACTATTACCATACAAAGAAGGCACCTCAGAGAGATTATATAGGATTCTCAATAAGGTTGAATGGGAGGAGAGTGGCATTTCACTAGAAATGAGCTCTATAGGTTGGAAGATTCCATTGATCCGACTATGCTGAATAACTTAGTTTATCGAATCCCTTGCAACGATTACGTAGTCAAATACGTAGGTCGAAGTAGTCGACCAGGTTCAATTAGAATAACAGAGCACAAGAACCTGGCTAAATCAAGATCGTTATATCCCATAAGATAAGGAATTTAGAGGAAAGCAATCACATAATAGGGTGGGTGGTACACAGTGACAATCCCTAAAGCTAACTTAGTAGGGTGTGAGGAGAGATTGACAAATGAATCTTGGTTTATCGAATCAACACCAAACGTATGCAATAGGAATGACTCAGCTCCTGTTCCGGGGAGTCACTTTAAAGGATACCCTAGCAATTGTTGAAATAACCAATTAGATCTCAGCATTTCGGCTGGCATGATAGTTTTTTGTAAAACAAAGAAAAAGTAATTACTTGTCTCACCAGCTGTTAGCCTAGCCTTTAACTATCTATGAGAGAATTAGAACCGTATAAACCACGTCTCTAAGTTGCAGAGTTATCTTGATATTCAAAAATCCCTATTTAGACATTTAACAGAACAAACAATATGAGCGAAGAAATATTTCTTTTCAATTAGTTTACGTTTTGAAAAAGCTATATATTTATGTAGAGCCATTGATGCGGAACTAATTGAAAAGGAATGTTTCTTTGCTCACATTGTTTTCCTAAATTATCTTGATATGACTATTTAAAATAAATTGTATCCAAAAAGTAATCTAGTAAATAATAATACCGTTTCATTATGCGTTATATCTTACAAACAAATAAAATGGAATAACATTCAATCCCAGAGCCAAAGTTTTATAATAATATTACAGCTAGTTATGGTGTACTGCAATTCTATGAGTAACGGTTCCTCATTTTATATGCAAGATAATTCACACCTCATTTAGAGTATAGTATTCAAGTAATGAACTTATGTTGAAAGCATTCAGTGAATATGTTGCAGCCACATTTCAGACCAAAAATAGCCGTACTATTTAATATTTGGTGCCTTATGTAATGCGCGTATGATTGATACTATTTTTAAAAGCTGGTGTTGCGAAATAATCGTTGCACAATCCAACTTGACCTTAGTATTGAGACAGGTCACAGATAATCTATAAGTATAGACTGTGACATTATACTAAATGTTTTGTCTTGAACAAAACTTCACCATATAGAATCCAACATTCTTATATAGTCGCATAAAGTCAGGTGTATATAGGATACCATTTCTCAACAGTCTTTTAACAATAAAAAATATTTTGTATGAAATGATGGAAAAAGATTTATAGCTCAGGATAAGAATCAAGATGGTCCGGTGTTCTCTGAGCTTTGGCATTTTGTTATGGACGTTTCTCACCAAGCTTCGTGACATCCTCATAACTAACTTCATCAAAAAGTGAAACATATTCGAATGTTACACAAATGTCTAGGTACTGTTTTTGTTAACCTTGGATGTTGTCCAATTTTCAGTTGAGGAACAAATTTTTATCACACCTTGGCCTCTTCGACCTTAGGTTGGAGGAAATCGACAGGATGCCGTCTACCTAGGTTCCGTGCCTTTTGACTTTCGTCAGCAAAACATAACTGAAAACCCCAGACAACTGATATCCCCTTTGATCTTCAAACCCACGTCACACACGATCATCAGATTCCTAGCCTGGTGGCCACATTACAAATCTAATCGACAGAATTCAGTAAGCACTCATGACTAGACAATATGAAAGAGGTTGCACTCTAGATGTAAGCTATTCATTCAGTGTCATGGACAGATGGTAGGCTTTCATTGATGTTAACATTAGCCTATTCTGTAAATGGGATTCAGGAATCCTGAAGGTGAGAATTTACGGTGTAATCATTCTATCAGAAGTTTCATACTACTGTAAAATTTGAAAAGTATGTCCTGTAGCATGTGTCTTTTAGTTTTCACATAATGAATGTTAAGTGACCTGAGAATGTCTTATATTCCTGACAATAAACCAGATTTGTGATTATCTAACGATAACTAATAAACGTGTTCAAACAAATCAGCTAGTTAGTTTCTACGGTAAACCAGGAGGCAGTTGTTCAATAATATTCTAGCTACACAAGTTGCCATCTATAGAGGTTATCTAAGCTCCGCTTACAGAGCAATTGATATAGAATTATCCAGTCAGGAATATAATAGCTTAAACAGAAAGGAATAGAAGAAACAAACTCAACTCAACAGTGGAAAACATCCAGTGACTAGGACAGGCCATACCAACTGGCTTAAATAACTGATCCAAGTAGCTTCCTTTTCTAATGTGAATGCAGCTCTGTACTAAGTTGTTGATGCAACATAAATGAAAGTTACAACTGTCCCTTATGCATGTCATGAAACAGCTTGACAGCAGCGTCAACATCTTCACTAATCAGTATATCTCTCCACTGTGGTTATCAAATACTGTAGTGGGCGTTGCTGGTAAGGATGGATACAAGTAGTATATGTTAAGAAAATGGCAGAAATCATAAGGAACCACCAGCAATGGGTAAGGATTCCGCCAAGAGAAACGCGAGAGACAAGCCAGGCGTATGAAGAGCAAACCAAGAAAGAAGCAGAAGAGGAAATGAAGCACATTTTGCAAATGACGGTTTTACTGCAAGTTTTACCATATTTAACGACTACTACCCCACTTGTTGACAATACATATTCCTTCCTTCGTACCTGTCTTCTTGTTTCTTTCGATACTACTAAATATGGTGAAAATGACGATGATCTCCTCAGAAATGAATCAGTGACTTCGTGTCACCCAACGACGACAACAATATCACACTCACTCAATGTTTTATTCATTTCCACCTGGGTGGCGAGGAAATGAAAGGTGCAGTTAGCATCATGACAGAAATGATGAGGTAAGAACTATCCAATCTTGTGTTTCGGAAGAACTGGTAAGTTCTAGAAGACTTATTTCTTCTGCAAACCTCTGAATGATCATTTTACGTTGAAATGGTGTAAATATGTCAAGTGAAATACTGTGTTCATCAGAATGCTATCATTTCTCTTTCCGTATACATAAAGTTAAAATGTGAGTTCATACGATGGCGGAAACTTAATGTGAAAGTGGTTATCCTAAGCGCCACATTTCTACCACAAAAACACCTACTGTATTCATTCAAACAGTGCCTATCACTGGATCTGATGTGTTGGAGTGTCAACAAGTGTTTGACCAATAAGCTACTGAGACGTGGCCATATCACAAATGTAATGTCTTGTCATTATTTTCATCTTAAGCACATAGAATTCCCCTAAGGTAGCATTAAAAGTCAAATAGGTTTTTGCAACAAAGCAAGTCAGTCAACTCACCAATGGTTTAATGGAGACAGCTTTAGGTTGTCCATTCAGTTTGCCATTTCGAACTGCTTGTCTGGCGTCATTATGTAGAGTTAATAACAATTTTCGTGTGGTATCATTCATTCTCCCATAGATGTGGGGAAACAGGAGTAATATGCAGATTGATAATAGGTACAGTCGCAAATCAGGCTGAGGAGACATCCGGATATAGCTAGTTTCGTATTGAGAATTATTTAAGTGTGGCTAATTTCCCTGACTTCAGTGCAAGTATATATATATATATATATATATATATATATATATATATATATATATATATATATATATATATATATAGTGGTCCCCTGATCGATCGTTCTGAACCAGTTATTTGAGTTTACCACAAGGGCAAGTGGTGGTAAGAAGTTTTATGATTGCTTTCTTTGTTCTCCAAATTGACCACCTGAACAGAAACTACCCATATATTCACTTTCGAATAGTATTACGTACGTGATTATTGTATAACTTAACAAAACCAGACGTATTACAGTACACTTATGTGCAAATGAATTGTCTTAAATTGAAGCAATGAATACTACATATTCTAATTTGATCATATGAAATTAAATATGCAGTCTTATTACATCATTTTATAAGCACAAACTTGGTGCAAACTAAACACCAAGAGATAAGCTATCCAAAAAATCAAGGCAAATTTACGAAGACACAGAAGATGGAAAGTGAACGAAAACAAACAGAAGTGGGTTATTAGGCACCCTGTTTCGAAAAGCATTCACTGTTTTAGCTTTACTTTTCAGTAATAGAAGCAACCAGAAAACCTCAGAATGCTCTCCAATGGCTTCAATTCTGAGCCATGTCCGCTACCATCTGAAGAGTTACGACGAACCTACAAATGATAATCTAACACAAGTATCTTGCACTCCATGATACCACGTTATATACCAACCACCTCTCCGCTTCTTCCAGCTGGTCTTGAAATTGCTTGGACGACGTGGGCAAAATATGTAAAGCCGCCGAAGCTCGCGTTTCAGGATGACCACACTCAGAGAATGATGATACTGATCGCCTTCAAAGGCACGACGTTTCTGTTCAGAGTTACTTACGTGATGTTGACACCAAATGCCAGTAATCCTATAGAGATAGCGGTGATCGAATACGTAGGGCTGTCGAACTTGCTTAGCCAAGTAAGGCAAGCTTTAACAGGTGAAATGAGCGATCGCTTACAGCAATTTGGTATCAATACAGAGCCCAAGGTGGCCCATATAGTTGTATGCCATTCTGGTTTTCCAACTACGGTTGGAAATCTAATCAGTCACTCTCTGACCAACACCTATGCAACAAACCAAGTACTTTTCGCTAACTTTCAACTATTCCCTGTGAAGAGTAAGTAGAAATACAGGTTTCCATGACTCTCATAAAAGCGTTCTGAGGGTGCGAAGACAGTAACGTACTTACGGATAATGACCACTAAGTGAGTGAATAGAATTTAATTTGCAAGTATATTGTTAAACGGCACAACCATAACATCCACACAGTCAAGATTCAAGTCTTTCATCTAGTAGCAGGCCTACGCCTCCATCATTCACCTTTTCCAGGACTGTATCTAGAATGTTGTCGACAGCAAAGTTAAAGATAAATAAAGAAATCCAACAGTCCCACCTAGTCGGAATGCTGGTTTTGGAACAATGGAGATAGGTGACTGTATGGCATCGCCCTACTTGAAGCACTGGAGCACAGAGCTCTAAGAATGTCTAGTGAATCGAAGGCAGCCCTTATATCAAGCAATACAACGATTGTTGGCCTCCATACCTGTAATGTTGTCCAAGCGTCTGCAGAAAGTGAACATGTAATCAATGCATCCTCTAGATGAACGAATCCGATATCGTTCTTGTGAATCAGTTTCTCAGGTGTTTTACTGAGCCTGTGAATTATGTTAGCGGTTAGCATTTTAGATGCTACTAGCAGTAGACTGATCTCCTGGTGGTTATTACATACTCTACGTAAGCCTTTCCAAAGGCAGGTACGACAGTAGCTTCCTTTCTCTGTGATGCAACATTCCGTCTGCTAGACTGCTTCAAAAAATAACCGCATTCTTCGCCAGGGGATCACTGGTCTTACGAAGAGCCACGGATAAATTTTCTAAGTAGAGGGCTATGCAGAGCTTAATTACTTGGCCTTCTTTATTGGCCTCAATATCTTTATGTGGATAGGTTTTAACTGATCATGCAACACTTAGACGGATGTTGTTGGAACAGATGACCAGCTGTACAGCTTTTCAAAGAACTCCTGTAAGCATTCGAGTGATCAACAAATGTTGGTGACCGGTGGACAATTTACTTCACATACCAACTAACAGATACCGGGTTTCTTGGTCCCAGTGACTGGAATGAGCTGGAACAGCTATCGGCAGTTGCTGCTCATATCTCACTTTCACACTTACCACAAGGCGTTACAGTCCTTATGCAACTACTGTTTGATCTGTCAGGTAAGGAATTTACGCAGGCTATTGTATTCATTGCCCGGTAGAATACTTCCATGAGCATGAACAAATTCCAAGGAATTCACAGCGACCCAATATCTGCTAGCGGGATTATCTTCAAAGCCACAAGAAGCTTTACTAGCCATTTTCATAGCGTCTTGCAAATCCACCCAATACTCATCTATACGTACTGAGTGTTAGACAGCTGGCCTTCAATATAGCCCGGTCTAGTATTTAGTTACAATACTAGATACAACTAGTTTTCTTACATCGACCCGTTTCAGTAAACAGTTTCCATGACAACCAAGATGGAAGATAAACTTAGCGTACAAAAGAGTATGGTCAGAGTCCAAACAGGTGATCCTGAAGCGTAAGCAGTCCTGAATACATCTACACCATCCTTTCTGAATTGCAATATGTTGTGTTTGAGTCCAGACTCAAGTGGCAGATGGAGGAACCCAAGTAACACCAAGGCAACGGCTGAGCGGAAATTGGTGTGAGCTGCAGAAGACGTTTCACATTACTTGACCTATGATAAAACAACACTGGCAACTAAAACAAATACCTTATAAAAGTAGACACCTAATGTGGTCTTTCAAATCCTCAGCCGTCACTACGATATCTATCAAGCCCTTGGAAGAGATCACTCAGTTGTGGTGGAACTTATCCTTAACTGCAACTAAACTGCAATCAGTCGGCGCATGGGCAGAGATGACGAGAAAACACCGTTTCTTCGGTCAGTAACTTTTCACTCCAATCAAACCCAGTCACCTGGCGACACAGAGACAGTTGATGATGGTAACGCAGTCAACAGGTGCATCTTTGGAAACAGCGATAAGTGTAACACTATCACGAGCAGAATCAGCTGCTAACGCTACAGCGTACCTGGAAAATCTTAATGTGAACACACTTTTTGAACTGATGGATAGGGGAGTTACTCAAAGCAGTTCACTAGAATGCTGCCTACTAGCCATTGAGATACAGCATACATCAACAGCAAGTCTTTTCAAAGTCCTGGATAAACATGTTTGTTGTCCAATCAGCATCAAGTTTAACACGTTAAAGGTTACCAGCTTAAACGAAGCAGGCAGTTTGTGATTAGTTGAATCGGATATTAGACAGAAGCATAGCTTTCTGAAAGCAACTTTGTACCGACTCAGGGCAACTCAAACAGACCAGAATTTCAGTCAGTAACGAGTAGCTGAGTAATATTACAAAGATACATATACAGATAAGCTTGAAAGTGATTGCCAAGAGATAGTATAGTTAGTATGAAAAAATAACGAAAATATAAAGATGAAAAGAATCATGAGTGAACATAAAGTTTTCTGTTGAGTGAATTCTGTTTTAAACGAGATGTGATGAACGGTTAGTAGTCTTCATTGTTAATGTTGGTTGATAAATTTCATGTGCATTGTGGTACTAGTCGCTCACCCAGACTGAAGCAGGAAATTGTCCTAAGAGACCACTCTCCAAGACTTTGACTTGATGTCTGATTCACAAGGCAGTGCAGTAACATGAAATCCGAAATTCTAGTAGTTCCCGGTGATCAAGACAAGATCATGCGAAACAGGAGAATTTTCTAAAAACAAAAACATCGTAGGAATAATTTACCATGTAAAGAGAAGCATTTCAAACACCTGATGCGACTGCATCATTTTAGTCGTGTTTTGGCCACATGTTTCTGAATGAAGCTAAACTGCCGATTCCTTAACACTTAACACTCACTCTTTTGAGGTGACTTAGGTCGAGTCGACGGTTTTATTACAAAAACTGCTATATAGATCTACTGACATCTTTATTTATTGTTTACTACAATCATTCTCTCCATACCACCTAACTGTTCAGCCTCTGTTAACTCCGTCACATTGGAATCACGCTATTTACTGACAGTTTCTTCTTTAATAATACTTGTTGATGTACGCTTATAATTCTCCGTTGTTTTAGTGGATCGAATTGTCCGACCTCTATTGGCATATGGGCTCCTATGAGGATGCCTCAATACTGCCTGAATGTCAATTATGGTAATTTAGTTGGTTGTGGCTAGCACAGGAATCTAAGACGCACGTTTCGTCCTACTCGGGACTCGTCAGCTGGGTGTATCCGCACCCCAGTCAGTGATGTTGTTCCCACTGAGACTCGAACCTTATGCACGCCGCTTCAAGCGCCAAGGCGTTGTCCACTGTGCCACGGAGGAACGATAGCCACTTCTTGTACAACGAGTAGTTGTTATTACTAACCGTTCATCACATCTCGTTTAAAACAGAATTCACTCAACAGAAAACTTTATGTTCACTCATGATTCTTTTCATCTTTATATTTTCGTTATTTTTTCATACTAACTATACTATCTCTTGGCAATCACTTTCAAGCTTATCTGTATATGTATCTTTGTAATATTATTCAGCTACTCGTTACTGACTGAAATTCTGGTCTGTTTGAGTTGCCCTGAGTCGGTACAAAGTTGCTTTCAGAAAGCTATGCTTCTGTCTAATATCCGATTCAACTAATCACAAACTGCCTGCTTCGTTTAAGCTGGTAACCTTTAACGTGTTAAACTTGATGCTGATTGGACAACAAACATGTTTATCCAGGACTTTGAAAAGCCTTGCTGTTGATGTATGCTGTATCTCAATGGCTAGTAGGCAGCATTCTAGTGAACTGCTTTGAGTAACTCCCCTATCCATCAGTTCAAAAAGTGTGTTCACATTAAGATTTTCCAGGTACGCTGTAGCGTTAGCAGCTGATTCTGCTCGTGATAGTGTTACACTTATCGCTGTTTCCAAAGATGCACCTGTTGACTGCGTTACCATCATCAACTGTCTCTGTGTCGCCAGGTGACTGGGTTTGATTGGAGTGAAAAGTTACTGACCGAAGAAACGGTGTTTTCTCGTCATCTCTGCCCATGCGCCGACTGATTGCAGTTTAGTTGCAGTTAAGGATAAGTTCCACCACAACTGAGTGATCTCTTCCAAGGGCTTGATAGATATCGTAGTGACGGCTGAGGATTTGAAAGACCACATTAGGTGTCTACTTTTATAAGGTATTTGTTTTAGTTGTCAGTGTTGTTTTATCATAGGTCAAGTAATGTGAAACGTCTTCTGCAGCTCACACCAATTTCCGCTCAGCCGTTGCCTTGGTGTTACTTGGGTTCCTCCATCTGCCACTTGAGTCTGGACTCAAACACAACATATTGCAATTCAGAAACGATGGTGTAGATGTATTCAGGACTGCTTACGCTTCAGGATCACCTGTTTGGACTCTGACCGTACTCTTTTGTACGCTAAGTTTATCTTCCATCTTGGTTGTCATGGAAACTGTTTACTGAAACGGGTCGACGTAAGAAAACTAGTTGTATCTAGTATTGTAACTAAATACTAGACCGGGCTATATTGAAGGCCAGCTGTCTAACACTCAGTACGTATAGATGAGTATTGGGTGGATTTGCAAGACGCTATGAAAATGGCTAGTAAAGCTTCTTGTGGCTTTGAAGATCATCCCGCTAGCAGATACTGGGTCGCTGTGAATTCCTTGGAATTTGTTCATGCTCATGGAAGTATTCTACCGGGCAATGAATACAATAGCCTGCGTAAATCCCTCACCTGACAGATCAAACATTAGTTGCATCAGTAATTTTTCGAAGTGGTGAGGCCATTGTTTCGTTTCCCTCTCTCTTCATTATCAACAAAGTTTCCATCCCTATGTTCCATTGGTTTCATCTGTGTTGATCTCTTCCTTGCCAGATAGTAACCTGGTTGTTTGATACAATGTTATCAGGTCTCTACTATCAGCAGCAGCCTGTTCTGATTCACTTGCCAGTGTGTCGTGCAAGTGTCTCTTGTCTTTCTGCGCACTCTTCTCCATTTCCTTGTCCAGTGTTTTATACATTGTACTCAGTTCCTCTTGTCGTTGTGCATCCTTGCACTGGTTTGTCTTCTGCCTCACCATCCTCCTCTCCCTGCTCTATCAGCTTCCATGTGTCCGTCGAGATCCATTCCTTATCTTCTTTCTTCTTCCTTCCTAATACGGTTGTGTAGGTTTCTTTCCACATCTCTTCCAAACAGTTCCAGTGCTCATCCATACAGGTTTCTTCAGGGATATTGCTCGATATCTCTCATTTTGTCTTGATGGCTGAAGTGAAGATTTCCTTTGTAGTTTCGTCCTTCAGTTTCCGGTTGTTGAACTTGAACTGTGGTCTATCACCAACTTCCTTGAAGGCTTTCAACTTGATTTTGAAGGTTCTTTCCACTAGATAGTGGTCTGAGCCTACACCTGCTCCTCTTCTTGACCTAGTGTCAAGTAGGCTACGTCCCCACTTTCTTGGGATTGAACTGAAGTCGAGCTGATTTTTAGTGTGTCCTGGTGTCTGGTGAAATCCATGTCACTCGCTTTGTGGATATCCTTGTGCTTGAACACACTGCCTGACTCCAATCACCAAATCGTTGAATGCACAGAATTCTGCAAGCAATTCTCCATTCTCGTTCATTTCACCTAGCGCTTCTCGACCCTCTTCCTGTGTTGTCTGCTCCCAGTTTGACATTCATGTCACCCATTAGAATCATGATGTCGCCAAGTGGGTTGGGGTCTTGTCCAGTGTTGATTGCAGTTGTCTGTAGAATTCCTCCTTCTTCTCTTCATCTGCATTATTTGTCGGTGCATAGCATTGTATGATTGTGACCTTCCGTCCTTTTGAGTTGAACCTCGCTGTCATGATCGTGGAGGAGATTGGTTCTCACTGCATGAGAGACAGCCTTCGATGCTGTTGGGGACATCATGATAGCCACTCCATAACTCAGTGTGCTCGTGGTTGTCGTCTGGGTGACAATATCGGAGTAGGTTACTGACTCTCCAGTTAACAGTTTGAAGAGTCCACTTCCATCCCATCTGCTTTCACAGATTCTTAGCACTTCAATGCTATATCTTCTCATCTCCTTTGCAATCTGGGTAGCCTTAGTAGGTTCAAACATAGTGCGGACATTCCATGTCTGCATTCTTACTTTTGCTTTCAACGAGAGAGAGAGAGAGAGAGAAGACACATCGGCCAATTGGCTTCCTGAAGGCTTTCATCAACCGGCGTCATTTCGCCTCTCCGATTCAGCGAGGAATAATATTGTTTTCATTTTTTATATTTTGTTTGTGCTTTGAAGTTTGTTTAGCGGTTGGATTGGTTTTACGGGGTAGGGTTGCTAGCCTTATGCCCAACCTTCCCTTTTTATGGGGGCTTAGGACCGGCTAGTAACTAGTGAACTTGTTAGCCAGGCGAGGAGGACGATGCAATTTAACCCGAGGTTGACGATCATTGTCATCGCAAAAGCTTAAAATTATTGGATGGGTGCTTGCTCTCATGTCGTGGAAGATGTTGGGGAAGAACAAATGACGCACGATGGTGGAACGCTCACAGTTGCTAAAACTGCGAAGAGATGGAGGTGTTGGCCTTTGTATTTACAGTCAAGAAATTCGACAAAATATCGCATGATCATCATTTACATCAGGAAAACGAGTGATTCGAAGAGAAGATAAGCAATGTTTCTTTCATCTCTGTTACCTTCATTAACACACACGGACCACATTCATGACAAGAAATCCTAATCATTCTATGGTTGGAGTCAACTTAGAGTAATGTCCTCAAGTCAACCAGTTCCAATGAGACCACAGAGGTGTCACCAGGCTCATGCACAAGCCTCATTATATGATAAATGTTGCCAAGTATCGATTATCGGAAAAACAACTTGCCCAATACGACCAATACTTCAGGCAGGATCAATGCTGATCTTCACCGCGAAGTTGATATACATTACTATCTAACATATATACGTATTCACTAGTGGCACCAGTTAAAAGTTACAAAATAAAATGAAGAAGTGTTTAATTACTTTCTTTCTCTCTTGTCCCTAACAGTATTGTTAAACAAAACATTTAAATAGTACAACTGATGACTTGTCTACTCCAGTGTTTTTATATGCTAAATATTCTCTCAGTTCATTAACTCATGATAACCTACATCATCAGCATTATCATCATTATAGGTTTCAGTTTCAACAAAACAAGTTTCACTAACTGTCACCACTTTTTTTCTAAACATTTTTACCGTAGCAGAAATTTTCTGAATTTATAAAGTTTATTGAATGTTTACTTGTCCTTATGATCTTTGCATACCTCCAGTTTTATACATATAAAAAGTAACTGTTTCAAGAAGGTATAATGCACCATTCCACTCTCAATAATATAATGACAACACATACTACTGAAAGAAATGAGTAGTTAGAAATTACAAGATGGTATCAACAGAATTACCTCCAAAGATTAGAGATATTTAATTACCAGACAGTGGTTTCAGTCGTCCATTAGTGGCAGTGAGGAGTGAGTTAATCATCAGCTGTGTGACACGTAAAACAGTTATAAACACAAAAGACCAAGCACCTGCAAACAGACATCATATTGAAGTTAGTGCTGATGATGTCGTCTAACAAGACGATGAAAGCTTCACGATTAAACAACCCAGCTCAGAGAACATAATACAACCAAGATCTTTCTAATTGCCTAATTCGTAAAGTTCAGATTGGAAAATACAGCGTAATTGTTCCAGACAGCTTCTGATAATTGATCTGAAGAGTGGTGTCTATGCACTAACAGATGATGGTCAAACGCGACAATCGTTTAATTCCATCTGACTGTCATAATTCGTGTTCTATGACGTGGATGACTTTTTAATTGGCATTTATATAGTGTGTACACATCATCAAGGTTGATTTTGTGAAAACCCATTGCTAACTGAAAGATAGTTCCGGCCTTACTCAGTCATATACTTTATAGCCTCAGCTTGATCTAAATGCCGCCGGATTTGTGCACTGTTCTCCTACCAACAGCAATCCATAATCTTCGCTGAAATGTATGGTTTAACAGCATTATCAACAGTTTCATTCAATAAACTCTGTTTTACATACATGAATTTTCGATTTGATCACTTAAGGTTTATTGTAAGGTTTAACGAAACCCGTCGGTATTGTTATGCCTTTCCTGTCAACACAGTGTCCTCCACATGTCACATTCACACTGGGCATTACCAACCAAAAGTGGACAAATCTACGACTGAATAGGATCACTCCAATCAATAATGACTAACTACGTCAGAAAATAGTTGGCTTCAAGTGCAAGGAACTATGAGCCTAGTACATACACCTTGACGCATATCGTTCTACCGACTGGCATTTGAATTGCTACATAGAATTTGTTTGATTTCTGCTTTCAGTAAGCTTTATTTTGAAACAATGCACGATGTTGACGTGATAAGAATCCCAAAAATAATAAAAGCATGATAAAAATAGCAGTGAGGAATGTTGTGGAAAACATTACAAAACGTCAGTATATAAAAATATCACCATTTGTATAACGCACAGAAATGAGCATAGTAATAGTAATAAGAATAAGAGTATGCATTGAAAACAACTCTCTGCTTATTCACCGGCCGCCTACCTGCAAGCTGTGAAGAAAGAAGAAATACCATCACGTTAATTAAATAAATAAAGACTAGATGAAAGTTAACATAACTCACAGACAAAGAAATGAAGAAATATATCACATAGAGAAGCTTTTAGGCACATTACATCGGCTGGGAGATCAATGATGTGTGTGTGAACAGTTTCACAATCACGAGGATAGCCACAAATCCTTCAAGATTACCAAAGTTAGTTACACAATGGAAATAATTCAAGACACCATCGCCGTTAATATCCCTGCTATGAATGCTGATTCATTCATTTTCATCACACACTTTATCCAAATGTTACATGCGAAAGTATGTGCCATTTGGCCAACTAAGAAGAAGAAATTAGGAGTATATGGAGGAGGGAGAGAATTAAAATAAGAGCAAGAACTGAAGAAAAATAAACATTTCAATCAGCTTCCTTTCCATTGCACAATCGGGAAACAAAGGCATAAGTTATCAAAAAAGGAATATTAATGTGGAAATAAGAATAGTAATGATACTATGAGAACAAACAGCCGTAAATTATTCACATATAAAGAAAGGAACAATTGAAATGATAATTAGGGTGAGTCGTCCACTCACATCGATACATGACACAACGCAAGATGTGTTATCATCAATGCATTACTGTTTCAGTTGTTGATAATAATTGGCTAGTACCTTCCATGCACTATCAGCCATAAATCCCACCGGTGGATCAACTCCATCACGAGCTAATGTTCGCATTTTAGTACCAGAGATGAAAATGAAATCAAAAGCACGTTCAGCATCGAAGAATGTCATCCTACCAAGTGTTTTATCATAGGCTGCAACACGGAAAGGGATAATCTTCAGACCAGATAAACCAGGAGCCATTGACAATACCTTGAGAATAAGAGAGAAACCCATACGACGAGGGAGTGTAGTTACACACTGTTTATAATCCAGTCATATAATTATCAACATGTCAATAATCAGAAATGATTCTCTTTTTTTCTCTTCTTGAATGATTTTTATTTTGGTCAAAAGCAGAGTTGAGTTCAATTTGGTTGCCTTTACTGTTAGCAAATGTGATGACGTGAATGGCTACGCTTCTACGCGAGACATTACACCTTAGTTTGTCCATTTGTTTCGAAATACTATTACCGACAAACCAATACACAGAGCTATGGAATTACTTTTTCTGAGAATTAAAATCCACCAATATTGGCTAGTTTGCACTGAGGCCACCAGGATAGTATTAAAAGTAGGACGCAGTTAAGATTTCAAAACTTTACACACTTAAGCAAACTCAATGGTGTTATTCCTACTGAGACTTGAACCAAGCCACTACTGCTTCAAACTCCACAGCCATATACACAAGGCAAATGAGGCAAGAAGGTCACCTCTTCTGCAACGGTTACCACCTTTAATTATATATATATTATTAGTTTTTTCGGTTCCGAGTGGAATATAGGGCTTCAGTTGCACGTCTACAGTGCACTCTGTTCTCTGAAATTTTTTAAACCTGGTTCCACGACAGCCCACAAGCTCTCATTCCTTCCTCGCACGATCTCCTCCATGTCACCATCGCCTCGGACGCCCAACTCGTCGCTTCCCATTTCAGTTCCACTCGAGCAACTGGCCTGGCGCGTGGTGTCCCTAGTCGACATTCTCAGTGTATGCCGATTCAATCCATCTCCACTTCCTTCTGCATATTTGTTAAGTGATAGGCTCTTGGCTGTTTCGTCACCAGGCCAGAGTTCCTTGTTACTTATTCTCATTATCCTGGCCATCTGATATACAGTAACGAGCCAGCGTAGGCAGTTTTTGATGAATGTCTGCAGTTTGTTGGAAATCCCTTTCGTAACGCTCCAAGTCCCTGAGCCATACAGAAGCACTGACTTGACCCTAGTGTTGAAAATCTGGATCTTGTTCACGCTTTATGCTGAGTGCAGTGCAATAGGTCTCCACACTGACTTCAGGCTAATGAAAGCCTGTCTTGTTGTCTTTCCGATCCTGGCTGGCTTTGACGTCCTCATCTGTGCCACCGCTTGTAGTTGAAACAGTGCTGCCTGGATAGGTGGAAGAGGCTACTTCCTTCAAGTTTCTCCCGTTGGTGGTGCTTATTGTTTTTGCTGTTGTTGTTGGTGTTGGTGGTAGTTGGGTATATTTATCACCTCTGTCTTCTCTACGTTTACCTGAAGGAAGTCCCGACTTCGCTGCCTCGTCTCTTCTGCCAACTTGTTGGTTTTCGCCTGTAGATCCTCAAGTTTCTGCGACAAGACATTAGGCATGAATCCAAATCCTCCTCTGGGGTCTTTTCATCGGTCAAACGGCGTATGCCCATCTTCCCGCAGCTCCTCACAATTGTCTGTTGCATGATCCAGTCCAGTCCAGTAGACCACAATCAGAAATATCATCGGTGATAGTAGGCAGCCTTGTCTTACTCCTTCCTGTCTTCACTTCAAAAACATCACTGAGCTTCCCATTGTGAATCCCTTGGCATATGGCGTCGTCATGTAGCTGTTGTTGAGTGAGTTTGATAAACGTTTGTGACACTAAACTGTAGTGTTGAAGCAGTTGCCTGCCAAATTACTTCTCGGCCGACGCTGTCGAAGGCCTTTTCAAAGTCGACGAAGTTGAGGTAAAGATCCAGTTGACTGCCATTCTATACTCTATTCATTGGTGTTGATGCGTAGCGTAGCGTTGCAATTTGATCCGCACATGATTTGTTCTTGCTGAAGTCAGTCAGCCAGCCAGCCTGTTCCGGTCGTAGTTTTGAATCCAGAGTATCCTTTAGTCTCTCCAGGATGATGCGGCTTAATATTTTCTTTGGGGTGGACAGGAGCATGATTCCGCGCCAGTTCTTGTCCTTGCAAAGACTGAGGTCACCCTTCTTCGGGAGTTTGACAAGGTAGCCTTTCTTCCAATCAATAGGCAGGTCCTTTCCTTTCTTCTGCAGTATTGGTGTGAGCACATCCGCTGTTGTCCCTACGTCTGTTTCCAGTGTTTCTGGAGGAATTCCATCTGGTCCTGCTGCTTTCCCGCATTTCAATAGCTTTATGGCGTCCAGGACTTCTGCTTTTTTCGGAGCAATGATAGTTTAAGGCTTACATTTTCTTGCTGCCACTGTGGATCTGATCGATCGACGCTTGTTGGCATATGAGCGGATGTGTTGAGATTGCCTAAAGATTCATTACGTTATGATTCATATCCGCACAAGAGCCCCCATCTAGCGACAGAAGTCGATCAATCCAACATATTAAAACAACGCTAAATTACAAAGGTGATTAAATAATATCAAACCTACATATTGAGTTTATATATATATATATATATATATATATATATATATATATATATATATATATATATATATATGAAATGTCAACTTTTTCTCAGTAACAAATGGCAATAACAATAAGCACGCCTGGCATCTAATCACAGTTAATCAGTTTCAACAACAAATATTTCAGGCAACAATTTACACATGAAATCATTTCATGTACTATTTGGTTGTATATTTTTGATTCAAAATAACCTCAAATATTCGATGAAAATTGTCGCTTACACAACAAAACGTATAGAAAAACCATGCTTTCATTTTCTAAAGACATTCGGGTTAGACTTACTTTGGCACCATGTGTTGGATCATACAAATCAATACCTGATCCATCAGGGTGAGGTAAACCAGCTGGATCTCGTCCAACTATATAAAACTGTGCACCGGCTAACATACGAGTACGAGCATGCCATTGAACTTCACGTGGTCCAGCATATAACATTGGAGAAGGGAATATCGCCAACAAAGTGGTATCACGATCAAGAACACCTTCATTTAAGCAAGCTTCATGCTGGGCTATGCGTACATTCAATGGAACATCATCTGATTTTGTCCAACCTCCAAGTGGATGAAGCAACAACACTGGATTACGATAACCATGCTTTTGTAATAGTTGTTGTCTAGTTTCAGTCATTAATAAAGCATGACCATTGTGTACAGGATTTCTTAATTGAAAAGCGAAGACACAATCAGCCTGAAAAGTTAAAAAGAATAAGGCGTACCACGATAACCAATGGTGTTTAAATGTTGCCAAAATATCACTTGAGAGAAATATCATCATCGCTGCGAGTAAACTATTTTACTACTGAAGCCTATAAACTATGCATCTATACTTATATGCGAAAATCCCGAAAGATAGCTACTAACTTGACGTGGTGGTCGGGCTATGCTGGTGCAAAGCTTGTTCCCACAAGGTCCTACCACACCAGAAAAGTTTTGTTGGATAGTCGGCGGACAAAAAGCAGTTACCCACAACATATTCTTAAACAATGAGACCATGCATTGTGGTGGCTTAGATCAGTCATCAGTGGTAATCCAAAACGCCAGGATGTATGTCCGATCACACTTCCCATACTACAGGCCAGTTGTCGTAGCATCAAGCAAATGTTCCATGGGCTCTGTAGTTACACAAATCTCTTTTTCTTCCAGGTAACTTAAAAAGAAATAGCCTTTCACAGTGTTGGCAACCGGGAAATGTCAACCCCCTGCCCCATGCTTCTAGCAGTACACAAAACCCAGTCAAAAACTACCTACCCTCATCGAATTTGTCTCCTCCTTTGCCTTCACCTCCTGATACTAATATTAGGCCTCTTATGCTTTCCCCAACCTCCCAACCTGCGACCATTGCCAACAATCCAAGCCACCGAAGCCCGGTTCTAGTGTCCTAAGACCCCCTCATCGATTTCATGCACAAGCTTGCAACGTCCAAACTCTATGCTAAATCGGACAGCAAACACCACTCACCAAAACTCTAGAATCTCTAGCAACGGATGTGTGCCGTACCTCTGAGACACGTATACAGGACCCGAGTGTGGTTATTAAATTAACCACACCTGGCCATAGTAGTGAACCTTAAAATCCAACCTAAGTTTATCCGGAAACTCAATGGCTGGATGTCATGGACTCGCTGGTGTAGGCATAGCATGGAGATGTAGAGCAGAAACGATCATGGAAATAGAAGATGCCTATTCGTAACCTCCCCCTACGCACCAATCAACTGCAGTTCGGATGGTGCAAAAGATGAATTTTGTGATAAAAAATACTGTCAATTATGCCACAGAAAGCAAAACGTTCAGATGCAGTTATAATGGCAAGCGACTTTAACGCTCAAGTAGGGAAGTTGGGCTAGTCGGAAAGATATTGTCGGTGCATTTACGGAATCCTATGCCAACGAACCGACAACGGTGATCGTCTGTTGAAATTTTGCTCTAACAATCACTTTTTTCTGATCAGCACTAACTTTAGGCATAAGGAAAGACAGTGTCTCACATGGTGTCTGCTGCCATCAAACCAACGATGGACACTGATAGATCATACCGCTATAAGCCATCATTGGAGAGGATCGGTGGAGGATTGCTGATCTTTCCGGAGTATCAGTTTAGACTGTAATCACGTGCTAGTAGAGACCCGTGTATGTGTGTGCCTTGTGGGTGCAGGAAACAGGTAATAGTAAAGCCTATCTAAGGTCCACTAGAAGAGCTGAAAACCGGCTACAATGCTGCCGATATATTCACTCCTCGACATCTTTTAAAACTTGAGTATTCACACTAACCTTCAGATTGTTCATTCTCATACACCACTTTATCTACTGTAATATCACTCCTTTTCTATCCACATGTTCTTTGTGAAGTATGGCAACTTGAGCCAATGCAGTCATGTGTGAGATTCTGTGTTGATTTTGTCAGTCAGTTAGTCAGTCAGTTAATCATACGAAATCCACATGAAATAATTTTATTCTGCATAGTTTATTGGTCTAACTTTGCTCAACTTTATCAGAAGAGCGATTTGTATGAGAAGCTTCCTCTCTTCAATATTCAGTAGGACGCTAAGAAGTAACTAGTGTAATATTGTTTATGCATAGTAGTTGTTCACATTAGGGTTGTACCATGGGTTGCCATTGTAACTTCCATATTTTCAGAAACACACCATATACCAAGTTTATAATTCAGTTTCATGATATTTGAGGACTACTGACTGTTCACAAAGTGATATCAGTTGAAGAACCATTAATAACCAGGCACTGATTTAATAGCTGTTCTGTCCTAGTAAGGAACTCCTCAGCAGTATGCACCAACGATTCCATCAGGTATCGGACCCAGAACATTCAGGTCATACCACGAAGACGCTACCAGTAAGCCATTATATCGGAATCTAATGGTTCACAACCCTTACAAACCTCCAAACTGAATCACTTTCCAGTACTCATTAGTGACATTGAGAAGTCCTAGTGAGAAGTCATGACCAGTGGAGCAAACCGAGTCGGATGTGAGGACAGATACTCACCGATGGCTTTGAATTAAGGTCATGCCACACCGATAATCGACAGAAGTATGAAACTGAATAATAAGGTGCTCGTAAGAAGACCTGGACGACCTGGGTTCGATCCCTGGTGGGATCATGGGTGCGGACTGCTGAGGAGTCCCATACCAGGATGAAATAGCTGTCCAGTGTTTCAGTGCTTTCAATGGTTCTCCAAATGATGTCAGTCCATCAGGAATACTACCCTGAAGTTGTTAAGTCCACGCAAACCACCAAACTGAAATATATGCTTTATTGTCTACCTCGAAGTAGGTCAGATGCAGGTTTAAAAACTAATCAGAAAGTTTGAAAGTTACAGTCAAGTTCTTGTATAGTCGACTATAAGGAAATGCTTGAGTTAAAGCGTTTCCTTCCAAACTCAATCATTCATCAATCTCGTCTCTACGTGAACCAGTTTCTTAGCGCAAACCATCTATCTCACTTAATCAAATAAACAGTTAATCAGTTGTTCCATATGAAGTGGGATACAGTTGAGAATAACTCGTTCACTTGACAGTCCAGCGAATATTTCTCAATTATTTGAACAAAATTTGCATGTGGTTATCACATGAGTCTTATAAAATAGTTAGTCAAATGCTACATCGGTAACCCAAAGCCCGTTGGCTTAAATCCTACCAATACTTTTCTCCCCCGCTTTCAATCATCAATTCCATAAACCATTTTAAGAATTCTAAACTTGTATTGGATACAGTTTCCATAAGAAGTTATTATGTTGTAGCTTGTTCTATAAAAATAACTAGGTAGTTTACTTATAAAGACAATAAGTAGTATATCTCCGAAAAAAACCAACTGGAAAACTTAATTCAAAAAAAAGTGTACAGTAAGCATAAACTACACTACTAGTCACTTACTTTCATTTCTACTAATTTCGAGTGTAGTTCACACGGTGTTAAACGATACTGATCAAGGCCATCATTCCATTTAATCCGTTCAAACACCTTTAAATCACCACCAACTAACCAATCACCAGAAGAATGAATCATTTTGATGCTTGGATGATTTGAATGATTAGTTCCAAATATATGAGAGCAACGTTCTTCCTGTTCATCGATACAATTCATAGGAAATGGATCAAGAAACAAAATAGAAGTATTGATAAAACTATTTTAGATGATATACGTGAGATCATCAACTAATTTTAATTTATCTCACACAATTATACACCCGGTTAGATCACATTATATCAACAATATACGTTCAATGTTGTCAACCTATAGTGAATTTTCTTCATGAACATGATTGTTAATAAAGAGAATTAGAAGCGATGATACATCGAATTCAGGGTAGAATTTCCAAATTATCAATTAAACATTACAACTTTGATTTTCACTTACCGAGACACTGATAACCCAAACATATCCATAAGACCTCGTATATCATTCATGTATGGACAACCAAAAATACATAAGACGGCGATACTGGTAGGACCAATTCTACTTATGATTAACTCTACATACCACAAGCTTTCTTGTTGGCTAGCAAAGAAGTATATACTTTAGATGACGCAACTTCTCTGTACATGAGTATACCTCTCCTTGAAATAACAGACATTACATGGCAATACACCGAAGACATCCCATCGTCAAAAAAGAAAAATGAAGCATCTCCTACTTTTATGCACTAAAAATGTTCAACGGTGCCATAATACAGGCAAGTTGATGATGAAGTTCACTGGGACCAGTAATGGCGGACATCTTCATGTAACACTTAGAAAACACAACCCTAAAACTTGCAATCTTTAAGATATGCTAATGATATCTTCATTATCCGTGAAAATGTTCAACAAGTAGGGAAATCACTTCAACAATGCACATCATACTATTAATATAACGAAGGAATATTGAGAGAAGTGGCACCTGAATTTTGTCGACTTATTTTTGAAAGATGGTACAATACGAAAGAGCATTTCACCACAAAACCAAATAAAGCAGTCAGTATCTAAATTTCGTCGACTTCTATCCGATCGGTTAAAAAAGAGGTTTGCAGAGAACTTCATACCAGAGGACAGGGAGATTATACTCCAAAGAAAAAGTGCAAGAAGAATTTCAACAAACTGAACAATGTTTAAGCAGTAATGGTTATCCGATGAAGTTCATGCAGAAGTGTTGCAGAAATAGGAAGAGAGTGGGATACAGTACTGTTGAAAATAAATTGCCGTTTCTTTCAAGTTCGGCTTTCAAGGGAGATGACGTTAGGACAAGAATCAACAAATAAATTAGGAGAGCACTACGCAGGACTTAACCTCGCTTGCTTAACAAGTTCACCAGTTACTAGCCGGTCCTAAGCCCCCATAAAAAGGGAAGGTTGGGCATAAGGCTAGCAACCCTACCCCGTAAAACCAATCCAACCGCTAAACAAACTTCAAAGCACAAACAAAATATAAACAATGAAAACAATATTATTCCTCGCTGAATCGGAGAGGCGAAATGACGCCGGTTGATGAAAGTCTTCAGGAAGCCAATTGGCCGATGTGTCTTCTCTCTCTCTCTCTCTCTCTCTCTCGTTGAAAGCAAAAGTAAGAATGCAGACATGGAATGTCCGCACTATGTTTGAACCTACTAAGGCTACCCAGATTGCAAAGGAGATGAGAAGATATAGTATTGAAGTGCTAAGAATCTGTGAAAGCAGATGGGATGGAAGTGGACTCTTCAAACTGTTAACTGGAGAGTCAGTAACCTACTCCGATATTGTCACCCAGACGACAACCACGAGCACACTGAGTTATGGAGTGGCTATCATGATGTCCCCAACAGCATCGAAGGCTGTCTCTCATGCAGGGAGAACCAATCTCCTCCACGATCATGACAGCGAGGTTCAACTCAAAAGGACGGAAGGTCACAATCATACAATGCTATGCACCGACAAATAATGCAGATGAAGAGAAGAAGGAGGAATTCTACAGACAACTGCAATCAACACTGGACAAGACCCCAACCCACTTGGCGACATCATGGTTCTAATGGGTGACATGAATGTCAAACTGGGAGCAGACAACACAGGAAGAGGGTCGAGAAGTGCTAGGTGAAATGAACGAGAATGGAGAATTGCTTGCAGAATTCTGTGCATTCAACGATTTGGTGATTGGAGTCAGGCAGTGTGTTCAAGCAGAAGGATATCCACAAAGCGAGTGACATGGATTTCACCAGACACCAGGACACACTAAAAATCAGCTCGACTTCAGTTCAATCCCAAGAAAGTGGAGACGTAGCCTACTTGACACTAGGTCAAGAAGAGGAGCAGGTGTAGGCTCAGACCACTATCTAGTGGAAAGAACCTTCAAAATCAAGTTGAAAGCCTTCAAGGAAGTTGGTGATAGACCACAGTTCAAGTTCAACAACCGGAAACTGAAGGATGAAACTACAAAGGAAATCTTCACTTCAGCCATCAAGACAAAATGAGAGATATCGAGCAATATCCCTGAAGAAACCTGAATGGATGAGCACTGGAACTCTTTGGAAGAGATATGGAAAGAAACCTACACAACCGTATTAGGAAGGAAGAAGAAAGAAGATAAGGAATGGATCTCGACGGACACATGGAAGCTGATAGAGCAGGGAGAGGAGGATGGTGAGGCAGAAGACAAACCAGTGCAAGGATGCACAACGACAAGAGGAACTGAGTACAATGTATAAAACACTGGACAAGGAAATGGAGAAGAGTGCGCGGAAAGACAAGAGACACTTGCACGACACACTGGCAAGTGAATCAGAACAGGCTGCTGCTGATAGTAGAGACCTGATAACATTGTATCAAACAACCAGGTTACTATCTGTCAAGGAAGAGATCAACGCAGACGAAACCAATAAAAGATGAAGAAGGAAATTTAATTACAAAAGAGAAACAGAGGAAACGATGGGCCGACCACTTCAAGAAGCTCTTGAATCGACCACCACCTGCACTTCGTCCAGAAATACCACCTGCAGCCGCTGAACTACAAGTGAACATTAATCCCCAACGAAAATGGAAGTCCTGAACGCCGTAAAGCTACTGAAATGCGGGAAAGCAGCAGGACCAGATGGAATACCGCCAGAAGCACTGAAAACAGATGCAGAGACAACAGCGGCCATGCTCACACCACTATTGCAGAAGGTGTGGAAGGAAGAAAAAGTACCTGGCGATTGGAAGAAGGGCTACCTTGTCAAACTCCCGAAGAAGGGAGACCTCAGTGTTTGCAAGAACTGGCGCGGAATCACTCTCCTGTCCACCCAGAGCAAGCAAAATATTAAGCCACATCATCCTGGAGAGGCTGAAGGATGCGCTGGATTCAAAACTACGACCGGAACAGGCAGGCTTCAGGAAGTACAAATCATGGGCCGACCAAATTGCAACGCTTCGTATCATCATAGAACAGAGTATAGAATGGCAATCACCTCTCCACCTCAACTTTATCGACTTTGAGAAGGCCTTTGACAGCGTCGACCGAGAAGTAATTTGGATACTGCTTCAATACTACGGAGTACCGCAAACCTTTATCCGCCTCATTCAACAACTATATGAAGACGCTACATGCCAAGTAATCCACAATGGGAAGCTCAGTGATGCCTTTGAAGTGAAGACAGGAGTGAAACAAGGTTGCCTACTATCCCCCATGATATTCCTGATTGTGGTCGAGTTGACTGGATCATGCAGCAAACAGTGGGGAGCGAGAAGAAGGGGACACGCTGGCTGAGCTGTAGAAAAGAACCTAGAAGATCTGGATTTCGCCGATGACTTGTGTCTGATGACACAAACTTGAAGATCTACAGGTGAAAACTAACAAGTTGACAGAAGAGGCAGGGCAGTGAAGACGGGACTTCAGGTGAATATAGAGAAGACAGAAGTGATGAAGATACCGCACCAACAACTCCAACAACAACAACAAACACCAATCACCATCACCATGAACGGGAGAAACTTAAAGGAAGTAACCTCCTTCACCTATCTAGGAAGCACTGTTTCAACTACAGGCGGGACAGGCACAGACGAGGATGTCAAAGCCAGAATCGGAAAAGCAAGACAGGCGTTCATTAGCCTGAAACCAGTGTGGAGATCTTCTGCACTCAGCATATGGAACAAGATACGGATTTTCAACACCAACGTCAAGTCAGTGCTCTTGTATGGTTCAGAGACTTGGCGCGTCACGAAAGGCATTTCCAATAAACTACAGACATTCATCAACAACTGCCTACGCTGACTCGCTACTGAAGATCAGATGGCCAGAAAGAATAAGCAACAAGGAACTCTGGCTCGGAACGAACCAACCAAGAACCTATCACCCAACAAATATGCAGTGGAAGAAATTGGAGATGGACCGAATCGGCATACACTGAGAAAGCCGACTGGGGACATCACGCGTCAGGCCCTCGAGTGGAATCCCCATGGTAAGCGACGAGTTGGACGTCCGAGGGTGACATGGAGGAGGTCGTGCGAGGAGGAAATGAGAGGTTGTGGGCTGTCGTGGGACCAGGTTCAAAAGATCTCAGAGAACAGATTTCACTGGAGGCGTGCTACTGAAGCCCTATGTTCCATTAGGAACCCAAGGGACTAATAATAATATAATAATAATAATAAGCAGGACTTATCCAGCTGCGACAACCTCGCCTGGTTAACTAGTTTACTAGTTACTAGCCGGTCCTAAGCCCCCGTACAGAGGGAAGGTTGGGCATAGGGCTAGCAACCCTACCCCGTAAAACAAATCTAACCGCTAAACAAACTTCAAAGCACAAACAAAATATAAAAAATGAAAACAAACTTATTCCCCGCTGGAATCGGAGAGGCGAAATGACGCCAGTTGGTGAAAGCCTTCGGGAAGCCAATTGGCCGATGTGTCTTCTCTCGATGAAAGCGAAAGTAAACGTGGGGACATGGAATGTCCGCACCATGTTTGAACCCAGTAAGGCAGCCCAGATTGCAAGGGAGATGAGAAGGTATAACATCGAAGTGCTTGGGATTTGCGAAAGCAGATGGAATGGGAGTGGACTCTCCAAACTGTCAACTGGAGAATCAATAATCTACTCCGGTCACCCAGACGCCAACCACGAGCACACTGAGGGAGTGGCTA